CATACCTAACTGTTGCACATGTGTCTAATTTATCCGGAGTGTAATTAATTATCGGCTTTCTGTTGTGTCTACCAATGTCTGGTTACATGTATACCACATTGTTTCGCATAAAGAAATGATTATATCCAATACACAGGAAGACATTACAATATGCAGACATATATACAGACTTTGCAAAAACTTTCGACAAGCGCGACCTTGGTGTTATAGCGCACAAAATGCGTGATTATACCACGGGTGGGGTTTGAACTCGCGACCAGAGTGTCACAAAACTCCAGACCGTCGTGTTAGCCACTGGACCAGCTAGCCACAATAAGATTCATCCAACTAGGTATATTTCTACACCATAGGAAGGTTAGCATAGGCACCACTGTGACCACAAATGCAAGTTTTTACAGACGAATCTCCAGCTAGCGTGACGAACTCTAGCTCAAGTTCCCTCAAAGCAGTCAACATGATTCACGAAATCGTAATGACACTATTACAAACAAACCATATCACGCGTGGGGTTAGAACCCGCGACCAGAGTCATAAAACTCCAGACCGTCGCGTTAGCCACTAGACCAGCTGCATTTTTCTCACGATTGGTGGACTTGACACACTGATTCCAGGCTGAGAGACTGATTACCTCATTCTCCTCATCTTCTACTGTTCTTCTCTGTATTGAACTGAAGAAACATTTCCCAGATATTGCATAAGCGTCTCATTTTTCAAGTGGAATAACTTTAAAACAAGGAGAATACACAGAGTAATAGTGAACAGTTAAGTCAGAGGCTTCCCCAAGGCAAAGTACTGACCCCAGCTCTCTTTATCATAAGACCGATACGTACCTTATACATAAGCAGATCTATAAAACTAATGAAACTTAAGCTTCAGGGCCCCTAATCCCGGAGGGGCCCCAAAAGCGACTTTAACCCACACTGCTTTAAAAATTTGGATCTACTCTACAAGGGTTCCAAAAACACAGCTCCACCACTGGATACACAACTGTATCAACCTTCGTAACGATGCTGGAATCTGTATGAGTGTGTAAGTGTATTTAGACCCAGGTACACATAAGTACAATCATCATACGTATATGTAAATTACCCACCAGAATAACCTAAAAAAGGTCAAAGTGACTTATTGGGGTCCCTGAGGACGAAGATCTCCAAGCTGATGTTAATTTGAGACTCCTATCAGCCACTGACAACAATATTTCGTCAGAGTGCATACCTCTGATGGGGTATATACTTAGATATACCTCAGATGGTGTATATACGTAGATATACCTCTGATGGGGTATATACTTAGATATACCTCAGATGATGTATATACGTAGATATACCTCTGATGGGGTATATACTTAGATATACCTCTGATGGTGTATATACGTAGATATACCTCTGATGGGGTATATACTTAGATATACCTCTGATGGTGTATATACTTAGATATACCTCTGATGGGGTATATACTTAGATATACCTCTGATGGTGTATATACTTAGATATACCTTAGATGGTATATATACTTAGATATACCTCTGATGGTGTATATACGTAGATATACCTCTGATGGGGTATATACTTAGTATACCTCTGATGGTGTATATACTTAGATATACCTTAGATGGTATATATACTTAGATATACCTCTGATGGTGTATATACGTAGATATACCTCTGATGGGGTATATACTTAGATATACCTCTGATGGTGTATATACTTAGATATACCACTGATGGTGTATATACTTAGATATACCTCTGATGGGGTATATACTTAGATATACCTCTGATGGTGTATATACTTAGATATACCTCAGATGGTGTATATACTTAGATATACCTCTGATGGTGTATATACTTAGATATACCTCTGATGGTGTATATACTTAGATATACCTCTGATGGGGTATATACTTAGATATACCTCTGATGGTGTATATACTTAGATATACCTTAGATGGTGTATATACTTAGATATACCTCTGATGGTGTATATACTTAGATATACCTCTGATGGTGTATATACTTAGATATACCTCTGATGGTGTATATACTTAGATATACCTCTGATGGTGTATATACTTAGATATACCACTGATGGTGTATATACTTAGATATACCTCTGATGGTGTATATACTTAGATATACCACTGATGGTGTATATACTTAGATATACCTCTGATGGTGTATATACTTAGATATACCTCAGATGGTGTATATACTTAGATATACCTCTGGTGTATATACGTAGATATACCTCTGATGGGGTATATACTTAGGTATACCGCTGATGGTGTATATACTTAGATATACCTCAGATGGTGTATATACTTAGATATACCTCTGGTGTATATACGTAGATATACCTCTGATAGGGTATATACTTAGATATACATCTGATGGTGTATATACTTAGATATACCTCTGATGGTGTATATGCTTAGATATACCTCTGATGGTGTATATACTTAGATATACCTCTAATGGTGTATATACTTAGATATACCTCTGATAGGGTATATACTTAGATATACATCTGATGGTGTATATACTTAGATATACCTCAGATGGTGTATATACTTAGATATACCTCTGATGGGGTATATACTTAGATATAATTCTGATGGTGTACATACGTAGATATACCTCTGATGGGGTATATACTTAGATATACCTCTGATGGTGTATATACTTAGATATACCTCTGATGGGGTATATACTTAGATATACCTCTGATGGGGTATATACTTAGATATACCTCTGATGGTGTATATACTTAGTATATACCTCTGATGGTGTATATACTTAGATATACCTCTAATGGTGTATATACTTAGATATACCTCTGATGGTGTATATACTTAGATATACCTCTGATGGTGTATATACTTAGATATACCTCTGATGATGTATATACTTAGATATGCCTTTGATGGTGTATATACTTAGATATACCTCTGATGGTGTATATACTTTGATATACTTCTGATGGTGTATATACTTAGATATATCTCTGATGGTGTATATACTTACATATACCTCTGATGGTGTATATACTTAGATATACCTCTGATGGTGTATATACTTACATATACCTCTGATGGTGTATATACTTAGATATACCTCTGATGGTGTATATACTTAGATATACCTCTGATGATGTATATACTTAGATATGCCTTTGATGGTGTATATACTTAGATATACCTCTGATGGTGTATATACTTTGATATACTTCTGATGGTGTATATACTTAGATATATCTCTGATGGTGTATATACTTACATATACCTCTGATGGTGTATATACTTAGATATACCTCTGATGGTGTATATACTTACATATACCTCTGATGGTGTATATACTTAGATATACCTCTGATGGTGTATATACTTAGATATACCTCTGATGGTGTATATACTTAGATATACCTCTGATGGTGTATATACTTAGATATACTTCTGATGGTGTATATACTTAGATATACCTCTGATGGTGTATATACTTAGATATACCTCTGATGGTGTATGTATACTTAGATATCTCTGATTGTGTATATATTTAGATATACCTCTGATTGTGTATACATACTTAGATATACCTCTCATTGTGTATATATACTTAAATATACCTCTGATTGTGTATATATATTTAGATATACCTCTGATGGTGTATATATACTTAGATATACCTCTGATTGTGTATATATATTTAGATATACCTCTGATGGTGTATATATACTTAAATATACCTCTGATTGTGTATATATATTTAGATATACCTCTGATGGTGTATATATACTTAGACATACCTCTGGTGTATATATACTTAGATATACCTCTGATGGTGTATATATTTAGATATACCTCTGATGGTATATATACTTAGATATACCTCTGATGGTGTATATATTTAGATATACACATATCTTGGTGTATACAGATATATTTAGATATACCTCTGATTGTGTATATATATTTAAATATACCTCTGATGGTGTATATATACTTAGACATACCTCTGGTGTATATATACTTAGATATACCTCTGATGGTGTATATATTTAGATATACACATATCTTGGTGTATACAGATATGCACATCTCTTGAAGTATATAGATATAGACATTCTTGGTGTATATACTTAATATACACATCTTTTGGTGTATACACTTAGATATACACACATCTTGGTGTATATATATATATATATATATATATAATATATATATATATATATATATATATTTATATATATATATATATATATACACAGACATACACACTTGTGTATATACACAGACATACACACTTGTGTATATATACAGACATACACACTTGTGTATATACACAGAAATACACACTTGTGTATATAATACAGACATAAAACACTTGTGTATATATACAGACATACACACTTGTGTATATACACAGAAATACACACTTGTGTATATATACAGACATACACACTTGTGTATATATACAGACATACACACTTGTGTATATACACAGACATACACACTTGTGTATATATACAGACATACACACTTGTGTATATACACAGAAATACACACTTGTGTATATATACAGACATACACACTTGTGTATATATACAGACATACACACTTGTGTATATATACAGAAATACACACTTGTGTATATATACAGACATACACACTTGTGTATATACACAGAAATACACACTTGTGTATATATACAGAAATACACACTCCAGCACCTTGGATCAAGATCTCCTCAGTTTAACACTATATCTTGATGCCGAATTTATATTAAATAAGATATATATATATATATATATTTTGTATATAAATGGGGATTTTTTAAAGTGGTGCGCTAAAGACGTATGGGCTATAGAGTGCCAGGGGAATGATGCGAGGGAACAACAGCTCCAATTCCCCGGATCAGGAGCTTTTTTTCGGGAAAAAAAAATTTGGGTGTGAGCGTCTAGGCGCCTTTTATTGTATTGACGGAGATGACGAGGCAACTTACCTCTGCAGGAGGTGCCTCGGGCACCATCAGAAGCTCCTGCAGGAGGTGGCACTGGCTGGGGCACTGCCACCACCCTCCGGGTGTGACCAATGGAGAAATTTGATTTTTTCTGTGTGGTAGGGAGAGGCAGAGATGCAGTAACTATCCCCCGTGACGGTCTGGGAGACACTGAGCATCGCCCAGTGAACACAGATGGTCGATGATCCAGACAACAGTTGCCAGGTATTGTTATTGTTATTATTATTATTGTCTCTGTCTCTCTCTCTCTGTCTATCTGTCTCTCTGTCTGTCTATCTGTCTGGTGCAGGCAACAGTTGCCATATATATTATTACTGTTATCTTATTTTTGTCTATCTCTCTGTATCTCTGCCTCTCTCTCCTCTCTCTCTCTCTCTCTCTCTCTCTCTCTCTCTGTCTATCTCTCTCTCTGTCTACTCTCTCTCTCCTCCCCTCTCTCGCTCCTCTTCTCTCTCTCTTTTCTCCCCTCTTGTCTGTCTTGTTATGTCTATCGTCTGTCAATCTCTTCTCTCTCTTCTCTCTCTCTCTCTCTCTTCTCTCTTGCCTCTCTGTCTGTCTTTGTCTATGTTATCTGTCTGTAAATCTCTCTCTCTCTCTCTCTCTCCCCTTCTCCCCTCCTCTCTCTCTCCTTCTCTCTTTTCCTCTCTCCTCTCTTTCTCTCTCTCTCCTTTTCTCTTTCCTCCTCTCTCCTGTCTCTCTTCTTCTCTGTCCCCTCTTGTCTCTCTCTTTTTCTCTTGTCTCTCTCTCCCCTTTTCTCGTAACTTTTTTTAAAAGCCAAGAGCTGTTACCCATAACCCATTTAAAAGCTTTTTTGTTCTGAGACACGAGGAAACAGAATAAAGTTATAGCCATCTGGGGATTGGGGCCCAATCTGTGGGCCTCTGGGGGCCCCATCTGGGGGCCCCTTTGTGGGCCATCTGTGGACATCTGGGGGCCCATCTGTGGGCCATCTGGGGGCCCATCTGGGGCCCACTGGGGCCATCTGTGGGCCATCTGGGGGCCCTCTGGGCCAGAAATTTCATCTAACCAACTGATATATTTCGCAAATGTCATTATGTTACAAACTTTCCCAGCACAGTCATCCCTGGAATAAATTCTCGTGATTTTGTGTCGGCTCCCCGTCTTGGGGTGTAGTGCCCATTCTCTGCCCTCGGAGTGGAGTAAGTGTGGTACCTTGATAATATTGACCTTAAAAAAAAAGGTCACCAATCCCCCTGTGTAAAGATGCTGAAAATGTAGATCTGTCCGGCTGGGTCCAGGTGGGTCCAGGTGGTCCCCGGGCCCAAGATGAGTCCCCTTTCTGTTCTCCACCTGTCAAGAAGTGTGAGAGCGTAGGGGCAGGAAATCCAAAGGACGTGGAGCAATCAAGGTGTGTCCCTCGTGTGCCTCAAAACATGATTGCACCCCTTGCTGTCCAGATGTAAGTACAGGACAAAAAAATGCAGTTACCAGTAAGAATGTGCAAATTCCCCGGGGATAAGTCTAGTGATGAAAGCTTCCTGAGCCCCCGTGTTTACAAGTTTTAAAAAACGTGATTCTTCATGGGATTTTTTGAAATCAATTTTCCCCCAAGGATGTAAACCCCTCTCTCTCCTTTTCTCTCTCTCTCTCTTCTCTTCTCTCTCTCTCCCTCTCTTTCTCTCTCCTTCTCTCTCTTCCTCTTCTCCCTTCTCTCTCCTGGAGCTAAAAAAAAAAAATTAGTAAGAACCCAAAAACATCAACGATAATAAAAATAATAACAAAAAATTAATGTATAATGCATTTTTGATAATAACAAGGGTAAAAGACTGAGAGTGACTTAATGGGATCAGATTGTACATTTTAAGTAAAATAATTAGAGGAGGTCAGCCTGACTAAACACTCCGATCCCCCAGTCATGATTATTACCCTGGTTATTTATCCATTTTGAGAGATTTATTGCGGCGGTTTTGTTGGTGGTACTGTGGTGTTGTGATAGATAAAAAAGATTGGTTTTTTTAACCCCGGAGGGTTAGCCCCCCAGGATAACCCAAGAAAGTCAGTGCGTCATCGAGGACTGTCTAACCTTAAACCAGTGATAAAACCCCGGAGCCCCCCACACCAGTCCCCTAAACCAGGTGCGACCCACCAGTCACAAAAACCCAAGGGGTGCCCCCCACACCGTCCCTAACACCCCGGTACCATTTGTGCAGGTGAACGGAAAGGTGTAAGGGAAACGTGTCGAAATGTTTCCACCCGCCGGGGAAACAACCCGGGCCCTTCGTGTGTGAAGCGGGGCTTTGTATTGGTGGTGGTGTTGTGTGGTGGTTTGGTGGGGTATTGTTTGTGGGGGTTTTTTTTGTGGTGGTATTTGTGGTGGTATTGTTGGTGGTGTTTTTTTTGGTGGTGTTTTGTGGTGGTGTTGTGTGGTGGTTTTTTTGTGGTGGTTTTGTGTGGTGGTGTTGTGTGGTGGTATGTGTGGTGGTATTGTGGTGGTATTTGTGGTGGTTTTGTTTTGGTGGTTTGTGGTGGTATTTTGTGGGGGGGGATGTGTGGTGGGATTGTGTGGTGGTGTTGTGTGGTGGTTCTGTGAGGTGGTGTTGTGTGGTGGTATTGTGGTGGTATTGGTGGTGGTACTGTGTGGTGTTTTCTGTGTGGGGGTGTTGTGTGGTGGTGTTTGTGGTGGTGTTGTGTGGTGGTATTGTGGTGGTATTTGTGGTGGTACTGGGGGGTACGTGTGGGTTTGTGTGGTTTGGTACTGTGTGGTGGTGTTGTGTGGTGGTACTGTGTGGTGTACTGTGTGGTGGTGTTGTGTGGGGGTGGTGTGGTGGTGTTGTGTGGTGGTAGTGTGGTGGGTGTGTGGTGGTCGTGTGGGGATACTGTGTGGTGGTGTTGTGTGGTGGTGTTGTTGGTGGTTTGTTGGTGGCACTGTGGGTGGTGTTGGTGGTGGTACTTGTGGTGATATGTGTGGTGGTGTTGTGGTGGTATTGTGTGGTGGTATGTTGGGGATACTGTGTGGTGGTGTTGTGGTGGTTTGTGTGGTGGTATTGTGTGGTGGGATTGTGTGGTGGTGTTGTTTTGGTGGTATTGTGTGGTGGTTTTTGGGGGTATGTGTGGTGGTGTTGTGTGGTGTTGTATCAAACCCATTTTTACTCACCCATTTGTGGTTAGGGGTCGAGTCCTAGTCCCGGCCCCCCCTCTTCACGGGTTTTCTAGACCCTCTCTCTCCCGCTCCATGAGCTTTATCAACCTCGTTTAAAAATGTGTATGGTTCCCGCCTCCATACGTCATTTTTTGGGTATTCCCTGCCTTCAATCTATGATGAAGAAATATTCCCACTATCTCTCTGATCTTTTTGTCTTCAACTTCCAATTGTGGCCTCTTGTTTCTGTGTCCCCTCCCGGGGAAAATCCCGTCCTTGTCCACCTTGTCTATTCCACCCAGATTTTTTATGTCGTTATCTGTCCCTGACCCTCCCTTCCCCGTGTCGTCAGGCGATTTTTCCCAATTTTCTTTATAGGGGAAATTCCCCTTAGCTTGGAACTAACCTTGTTGCAAACTTGTCTTTCTCTAGTTTCTTTACGTGCTTTATCAAATGGGGTTCCAACGGTGCGCATACTCCTATGGGGCTGACATAAACGGTGTACAGTGTCTTGAATGATTCCTTACTAAGGTGTCGGAATGTGTTCTCAGGGTTTTCCAGGCCCCATTGCTGCAGCGTTATTGATTGTGTGTGCTTCCGGAGCATGCTCGGTTTATACTACCCCCAAAACTTTTCCTTTAGTGAGGTTTGCGTCTTTTGGGACCCGCCTTACTCTGTTGTGGCTTCTGTGCCCTTCCCCTATCTTCTGTTTGCATTTGGGAGGGTTAAATTCGGAAGCCATTTGTGGACCCCGGGGTCCAGGTCCAGGTCTCTTTAAGCCTGCCTGGTCCTCATAGATTTAATTCTCCTCATTAACTTCCCTCATCTGCAAACAGGGCACTTCTGAGTTAACCCTTCGTCTGTCGTTCACATACCAAAAAATAGCACTGGTCCCAGGACCGACCCCCGTGGGACCCCGCTCGTAAGGTGCCACTGTGATACATCTTCGTACCATGATCGTTGTTGCCTCCTGTCGGGATTCTCTGATCCATTGCAGTGCCTTCCTGTTATATGCGCCTGATGCTCTAGCTTCGCACTAATCTCTTGTGGGGCTGTGTCAAAGGCCTTCTTGCTCCCGAAGATGCAATCAACCCCCCCTCTCTTTTGTTTATTCTGTTATTTATATAAAAAAACCAGAAAGGTTGTGACACAGGATTTTCCTTCCTGAATCCCTGCTGGTTGGGATTTATACTTGTTCTTTTCCGGTGTTTCCCCCACCCTCCTGAATCTTCTCCATAATTTTTGCTACTATACACGTCATGCACAGGTCTATAGTTTTGTGTGGGGGGTTGTGGTGGTATTTTGTGGTGGTTTGTGGTGGGTTTTTGTGGTGGTATTGTTGGGGGTTTTGTGGTGGTTTGTGTGGTGGTTGTGGGTGGTGTTGTGTGGTGGTTTGTGGGTGGGGTTGTGGGGGTATTGGTTTGGGGGTATTGTATGGTGGTATTGTTGGTGGTGTTGTGTGGTGGTGTCGTTGTGGTGGTGTTTGTGGTGGTTGTGTGGTGGTGTTTTGGGGGGGTTGTGTGGTGGGTGTGTGTGGGGTGTTGTGTGGTGGGGTCGGGGGTGGTGGTGTTTTGGGTGGTGTTGTGTGGTGGTGGGTTGTGTGGTGGTGTTTGGGGTGGTGGTGTTTTGTGGTGGTGTCGTGTGGTGGTGTTGTGTGGTGGGGTGTGTGTGGTGGGGGGTCGTGTGGGGTGGTGTTTTTGTGGTGGTGTTGGTGGTGGTGTCGTGTGGTGGTGTTGTGTGGTGATGTCGGTGGTGGTGTTTTGTGGTGGTGTTGTGGTGTTTTTGGGTGGTGTTTGTTGGTGTTGTGTGGTGGTGTTGTGGGGGTGTTTTGGGGGTTTTTGTTGGTGGTGTTGTTGGGGTGCTGGGTGGTGTTGTTGTGGTGTGTGTGGGGGGGTGTGTGGGGGTTCGTTTTGGGGGGTTTTTTGGTTGTCGTGTGGGGTGTTGTGTGGGGGTACTGTGTGGTGGGGCTGGTGGTGGTATGTGTGGGGGTCTGTTGGTGGGGTTTGTGTGGGTGTCGTGTGGGGTGTTTCGTGGTGGTGTGTGTGGTGGTTTGTGTGGTGGGA